GTCGGCCAAACAATGTCGACTGGCGGCCCCTAGGGGGAAAGCCTTCTCTGTGGGGGCACCTACGATCTGGAACGAGCTCCCCCCGGAGATACGGAGGATCCTGGATCTGCGCACCTTCCGTCGCGCGCTTAAGACTTTCCTATTCCATCAAACTGGCCTGGCCTGATCATCAGAGGCTTTTAAAAGCTTTTTTTTACTGCAACCTCTTAAGGTTGTAGAAAAAAATGCTTTTAAAAGTAAAAAAAAAAAGTTGGCCACGCCCACCCATCGCGACCCGATGGTGCGGTAGGTGCGCCGCCGCTGCCACCGCCCAGGTGGGAGAGGAGAAAGAGAGATGGAGAGAAAGAGAGATGAAGGAGAGAAAGGGGGGAGGAGAAAGAGATAGAGAGAAAGAGAGATGAAGGGGAGAAAGGGGGGGAGAGAGATGGAGAGAAAGAGAGATGAAGGAGAGAAAGAGGGGGAGATGGAGAGAAAGAGAGATGAAGGAGAGAAAGAGGGGGGGGCGAGAAAGAAAGAGATGAAAGAGACACAGAGAGATACCTGTTTGAAAGGAGCCACAAAACCAGGGTGGGAGTAAGTGATATGGAGTTGGCAATGCCCACCCAGGTTTGAGGTTGTGTTTAAGTGTTTACATGTGTTTAAGGTTGGGCGTTTAAAGTTGCAGACCCCTGACCTACCCCATCTGATCGCTTCACCCTGCAGCCAGCCCTGTAGGCCTGCGCCCGCCTCCCATCTGGGCAGCAGTGGCCTACCTATCCCGGTTGTATCATCTTGCCCTGCAGCTGGCCCGAAAGCCCACCTCAGACTGCCTCAGACTGCTCCAGTAGGTCATTTTTATTTAATTTAATTAAGAATGCTGCAATGGGCATAAATGATGACCGGTCAAAAGTGCGAGGACCTGTCAGAAATCACTTTTTTCAGCCCGCTGGGTAGTCCCTATGTGCATATGGATTACTCAAGAGGGCTGAAAAAGTTATTTTTGACCGGTCCTTGCACTTTTGACCAGTCCTTGCACTTACAACTGTCCTCACATTTTACGTTTTGCGCCCTATCTTGTCACCGTGGTGAAGAGTAGTTGTGAAATGAGTGACACAGTTGTTAAAAATGCTGCAACGGGCATAAATGTGAGGATAGTCATAAGTGCGGACTGGTCAAAAGTGCAAGGACCTGTCAGAAATCATTTTTTTCAGCCCTCTGGGTAGTCCCTGTGCACATAGCCACGCCCACCCGGTCACATGACCAGCTAGCCACGCCCACCCAGTCACATGACCAGCTAGCCACACCCACCCAGTCACAGGACCACCAAGCCACATACCCCCAACTAAGCCACGCCCACAGAACTGGTTGTTAAAAAAATTGAATCCCTCTACTGAATGGAATGGAATGGAGCAGAGCAAGGTTTCTCTTCCTCGCCCCCATTTGCTCTTGTAGGAGCCGTCTCTTTCCTGACAGAGAGATGGGAGGGAGAGAGCGAATGGAATGGGATTCAGCAAGATTTATCTCCCCCACCCCCATTTGCTCTTCTAGGAGAGAGGGAGGGAGGGGGAGAGGAAGAGAGAGAGATGGATGAATGTCGATTGTAACCTCCTTGGGGCTGAGAAGAATTGCTGCAAAACTGAGTTTTCTGAAGTGGCTCACTAGACTCGTAAGCAACTTAAAAAATGATCTAGTAAAAAGAAAAGTCAAACAAAAGCAAATAAAACACTCCCAGGAGGAAAACAAATTAAAGTTTCATTTGTGTATATTATTTAATGGACTGCTAAATTGGCAAAATGGACTGCTAAATTGGCCACACCCAGCCAGTCACATGACTAAGCCACACCTGCCCAGTCACATGGCAACCAAGCCACGCCCACCCAGTCACGGGGGGGCAGCCACACCCACCTAGCCAGTCCAGGCCCCCAACAGTCTGAGGGACCCTGAAGCGGCCCCCTGTTCAAAAAGTTTGAGGACCCCTGGCTTAGTACATCTTGTAGGGTTTTATATATGTCTGCTGGTAATCCATCCGGGCCTGGTGTCTTCCCATTTTTCTGTCTTTTAATTCCTTCCATTAATTCCATCATAGATATTCTTTCTTCTAATAATTTTTTGAATTTAGGATATTTTCAAAGACATTATGTAAGAAATGGTTTGTTATCAGTGTGGGAGAGAGTGAAAGAAAAACATTATTTGAATATTCCAATATGGCTTTCTACAATAGAAGCGGTGATATACCCAAATATTGTGAACATGGGGAATATTGTTAGATATAAAGACATTTTGACAGATCGGGGAGAACTGAAACAAAAACAAGAACTGGAGAGTCAAGGGACTGAGATAGACTGGTATACAAGACTGCAAATACAATCAAGATATGAAGCAGATTGTAGACAACATGGCTTTAACTTGGGGAAATCAGAACTGGATGAAATATTGACAGGAACAGATGAGAAAATGATTAAGAAATTATATAATTATTTATTGCATATTTGACAAGAGGATGAAGAAGTAAAAGAAATAATGATAGCATGGGAAAAGAATTTTGGATACACCATAGAATTGGAGAAATGGCAATAACTTGGGGAAAGAAACTATAAATTAACAATGGCAACAACCTATAAAGAAAACTTGTATAAGATGTTTTATAGATGGCATATTCCACCAGAAAGATTAGCTAAGATGTTTAAATCAGCTAAGTGTTGGAAATGTCGCCAGTTGCCGAGATCATACTATCATATGTGGTAGTTGTGTAAAGAAGCAAAACAATATTGGGTGAAAACATGGTTAGAGGGAATGTTGCAGCAACATATAGAGTTAAAATCAGAGATATTCTTATTGGGAATTTTACCAGAGAATTATAGTAAAGAAGATACATATTTGATTGTTCATATAATAACAGCGGCTAGAATTGTATTTGCACAAAACTGGAAAGCAGATAAAATCCCGTTGGAAGGAGAAATTATAAAGAAAATGTTAGAATGTGCAGAAATGAATAGATTAACATTGAGAATAAAAGATAAAGAGGAGTCGATGTATTTCAAGACATGGGAATTTTTTTTTTATTAGTTAGAAAGAAAATATGAATAAGGGTATAGAGATAAAATAGATAGAGAACAGATGGGAGAAATCAATTTTAAAAAGTGTAACTAAGATTTAAAGATGTAAACGTTGAATAAAAACAATTTTAAAAAAGATTGTTAAAAATAAAGGAATGCAAAATTGGCCTATTTGATCACGGTTAAAATGGATACACTATTTTCTCTGGTCATCCTTAATGGACTTCTGCTGATCAGGATTGAAATGATCAGGGTTTCTTTATAGAAAAGAGATGGAATACAGAAGAGACCAGTGGTTATATTACAGAGAAAATAGTTTATACTTGTGATGGTCATTAGTTTATGTATTTTTTTCTTTCTCTTGTACTATTAATTTTCTTTTCTATTTTTTTCTATTTCTTTTCTGCACTTTACTTTTATTCTTTTTTAGGTTGTACTAGTTTTATCTTTAATTCTAACATTTGATAAAATTCCTAAAATCTCCACTCTCTTAGACCGAGAAGGTATTTGGAGTCTTTCGGTGGCTTACTGTAATTGCCCAAATAATTAGGTGTTGACACTAAGGGTGAGCATCCAATTGCTTGATTCCCTTGATGTGCCCACTCCCCTTTTCCTCTGAGCCAGAACTTGCAATTAAAATGGCTCCGGGGGATAGATGCGCGCTCAGCAGGATAACGCGGCCAGTTGCTCTGAATGCTCCACCTCTGGCTCAGAGTGAGAGCTGCGGGAGAACCAGAGACTGGTGGCACTAACCAGACGACCGTTTGCAGGAAGAAGCCGTCAGCCCCAGTTGTGCTGTTCTTTTCTGCCTGCTGCTCTTGGCCACCTTCTCCACCTCGGACTGTTTGTGGTCCAACTCCCGCATGAAGACCTGTGAGGGGAGGGTGAGGGGTCCCCATCAGCCATTCGAAGCTTGGCAACCAGGTGCTGTTGCTGCAGGGCCAAGACCCCATCTCAAAGCCACCCCATTCAGGAGCTTGAAAGCACGACACCAGCGCAGGCACTGGTGAACGCTCACAGGGCCTCCCACCTTGGTCGAAATGTGCCCCTCCCCCCCCCCCGGTTGGGAAAGACGGGTTCTCCAGGGCTGCAGCAACCTGGTTGCCAGAGGCTCCCTGCCCAGTGGAAGACCTTCCCTGGCAGCCCTGCCAAGGAGCGAAGGGAGTGACCTCTGCAGAGGGTCAAAGGGTCGGGGGCAGGTGGGGGTCACACGACGCCTCAGCCAACCCACTGCTAAGGAGGCAGTGGCGGCAGAGCCCCTTCTGGCTCCCCTGGCGGCTACGACTGGCTGGGGCAGGCACAAAGGGAAAGGGGGCAGCGAAGTTATCCTACCGTGTGCTGGCATCCAAGTTCCTTCAGCTGCCTGGCATCCTCCGGAAGGGGCTCCTGGTCCCGCAGGCGCAAGGCCTCTTCTGCGGCTGTGATCCAGTCACTGAGCCGCTCTGTCTCCTCCTGGTCTGCAGCCAGGGACGCTGCCTGGGCCTGCAGCCGCTGCTCCTGCCCCTGGACCCGGCTGCAGAGCTGTGGGAGGAGGAAGACAGCAATGTGGGGAAGGAGAGGGGCGCATATGGTGAGGGAGGAAACCCCTTCTCCTCACCCCACTGGATGAGTGGCCCCACTGGAGGCCATACACACAAGGCCCAGTGTGCCCACAAGCCCCCCCCTCACTTCCACTCTGCTCACCTGATGGAAGCGGGTCTTGGCAAGAGTGACCCAGGATTGGACGGTGCCCACAGCATCGGGGTGGCAGGCGCTCAGGATCTCCTCGCCCAGAGAGCTGATGCAGTCCAGCTCCAGCTGCTGGCATTGCACACTCTGCTGCACCTCCTGTCGGCGGTGGACAAGGCCATCAGTACCTCCCTGTGGGGCCAGGCCCCCACTCCAGAAAGAGAGGGTGAAAGCTGAAGGCTCTGGCATGAGGCTCTTCAAGAGGAGAGCAGCAGGGTCTCCCCGCCCCCTCCCTGACCTCGAACTGGCTCTGGCCCTCGGCCATGGCCGCCTCCTCCTCCTCTGGGGTTGCCCCATCCATGATCGACTTCTCCAGGCCTGACAGGCGGCTCAGGAAGGCACCCAGCAGGCGGTGGAACTCCTCTGCCTGCAGGAAAGAGAGACGCCTGCGTCAAAGGGGCTGCCATTCTGGGGAGCAGAATGTGGGTCCTCTTGGCACTCTGGAATCTGCCCAGCTTCAGGAAGGTGGTGGTAGGCAGGGAATCGGGCAAGCCTCCTGCCCGTCCTGTGTCCCAGCCCAGGTCCTGCCTGGGAGCTTCTGCCTTCCACACAGCTGTCCTTCTCCCACCGCTGCCCTGGCTTGTCCACATGCCTGCCTCAGGGCCACTTCCAGCCGGTTCTGCTGGGAGACGGAGAGCCGGCCAATGAGTTCCCAGCGGTCTTCCAGCTCCTCCATCTGGATCTGCAGCCACCGGGCATCCATGCTGCTCCCATCTTGCGCCAACACACGCGCAGAGCACCTCAGCGTCCTGACAGCCACCGTCCGCCGACCCAGCTCTGTCTGAAAGGCCTGCTAGGGCCAAGAGAGGAGGCCTCACTGCTGGGCACCCAGGCTGCACAGCCGTCCAGCCCCTTCCTCTCCACCACAGGCTTCTGTGGGCACAGCAAGCCCATCTCACCCCAGGCCCTCCACACACCCTCTCAGCAGTGGCGTTGCAAACAGCTCCGCCTTGCCTTGCCTTGCCTCACCCACCTTATGCTGCTCCATGAGCATGCCCACCAGGTCTCTGTCCCCAGCCACGGGGGTCTCCTCAGCCAGCTGGGGCTCGGCCTGACAGAGCCAGTCCAGGAGGCTCTGAAGGGCATCGCCAAAGCAGCTGGAGAACAGCAGGTGCTCCTCCAGCTTCTGCTGCCTGCAAAGGGTTGGCAGCAGTGAGGGGTCCACGAGGCCTCTGTGCCCCCTTCTCTAGGGTGAAGGGCCAGCCCACCCCAAGTGGAAGCTCTTGGAGCCATTAGCAGCCCTCACTCTGGGCAAGCTCCCACTGGCCTGCACTCAATTCAGCAGTACCCGAATCCAGGAGGGGGTGGGAGAGGGAGGTTTTGGCCCCTCTGAGCAACTGTTACATGGGGCTTTAAATCCCAGGGGCCTGAATGTGGGGCCGGAGACACTTGACCCCCAGATTGTCCCATGAGTGACTACCTCAGTTGCTCTACCTGGTCCTTGCCTACAAGTTTTGGTGAGGGTGGGAGACATCAGGGCTGGCTCCACTGGCCCCAGAGAGCAGGTCAGTATCCCAGCACTGCTCCGGAGAGGTCCAGGCCCACACTAGCTCCTCAGCCGACCCTCTTCCCTCTGCCTCCTGCCCCAAAGGCCGGGCTAATGGTGGACACACCTCCCGGCTGCACAAAGCAATCTCCTCTTGGTAGCACTGCAATGAGCAACAAGGAAATGGGGCTTCCCCCCCCCCCAAGACACACACACACACACACACACGGACAAGAGGGTTTGGCCAGTCAGTGGAGACCCTGCCTGGGCCAGAGATGCAGAGGACAGGCGAGCAGCCACCCCAGGGTCCCCCCAGCCCCCCTGTCCCCTACCTCTCGGCCCCCCAGCTCCACAGAGCCCTCCAGCGCTCCTTCAGCTTTCTCTGCATTGCGTCCAGCTCCTGGCCATCGGCAGGGAGGAGAGCCTTGCCACATAGGAGACCCCCCTGCTGCAGGGTAGCCTCAAAGATGCGACGCTTGGCCCGCAGGCGACTCTGGAATTCCTGCAGGAACATTTGGAGAAAAGGCTTTGCCTGGAAGGAGAGAGGGGCCCAGCACCTGACTGTGCCCTGGTGGTCAAGGCTGGTGCAGGAACCTGCCTGCCTCCCCCTCCTGCCCTGGGAGGGGAGCTGTCTCCTTGATGGGGAGTTCCAAGGGGGGGTCCCCCAAATTCAGCTGCTGACATCACGGGACACAGCAATGCCCCCCCCGACTCAGCATAGTGCAGGAGACGGGAGTGGCTTCCACAGTGGGGGCGGACATGATGCACCAGGCTCGCCCCCCGGCCTCTCCTTGTGCTGTCCCAGAAGGGCCTTGAAGTCCTCTTGCTTCGCAGGGGGGGCATCTGTGGGGGCTGCACAGGCTGCCTCTGCCCCATCCATCCACTTTAGGAACAGCTGCCAGGACTCTCTGAACTGTAAGGCCAGAGCAGCACTGCACTAAACCTCCCTGGGCACGCCTGCCCCCCAGGGGTGGGTTCTACTTATCTTTACTACCTGTACACAATGGGGCCACGCGTGTGCGTGTGCTTCGCTCATGTGCGCATTTTTCTGCACATGCGCAGAAGCATTCTGATGATGCCAGAGTTGGTGGGCGGAGCTTCCCATCGGATTTACTAAACCAGGGACAACCCACCATTGCTGCCCCCCTGCCCCCCATCTCCCATTGTCCTTCGGGGGTCTTTGTGTGAGATACCTGTTTGGCCTGCTGGTGGGCCTCTTCCAGCACCTCCCCCCTCTCGCTCACTTGCTGCAGGACCTTGGCCAGCCGCTCCTTGGCATTGCCCATCAGGCTGCGAGGACCCCCGATGCCCTGGGTCAGGCAGGCAGTCCCCGCCTCCATCCCTGCCAGCTTCTTGCTCTGGGCTGCCGTCTCCTGTGCCAAGGCCTGCAGGGACAAGCAGACAGGGGAGCCCAGGAGATTCCTGGATCAGCCCTCCTCCTCTCAGTGCCCATGCCACCCAGCCTCTCATTGGAAGACTGGAGAGGGACACTTGAGAGCAAGCTTGGCAGCGCCTCACATAAGAGGGCTCAGCCACAAGTTGCAAGTCTGCCCAGTCTGCCCTGGGCCAAGTGGGCCTGTGCCCAGGGAATCGTGGGCAGACTTCTCTTCCCAAGTGATGCCAAGGGCACGCATGCCACCCAGGGGGCTCCCCCTCCTTTGCCGGCTGGCTGTGGCTGACCTGCAGCCACTGCCTCTGTTTGCTGACTGTGTCCAGGATGTAACTGGGAGGAGGCAGGGCTGCCAAGGCCTCCTCGGTCTGCTTGACCCACTGAAGGAGCTCCTGGAGGGTGGCTTGGAACTCAGTGGCTGTATTTGGGTTTTGGAGGAGCTGGGAGAAGGGAGGAGTGTGGGTGGCCCCTGCACAGGATGAGGCCCGCCCTCCACAGCCCCCCTCCTGCCCACCTACCTTCTGTTCTTGAAGGCGGCTGGTGAAGCCGCCCCACTTCTGCTCCAAGACCCTCAGGCTGTGCTCGGCCATAGAAGCCCTGTTTGGGTGGCAGGTGGCCAGCAGGTGCTGGAGCTTCTCCTGGACTTGCTGGTACGTTTGCCGCTTGGATTCCATCTCTTTGCACAGTTCCTGCCCAACCACAAGACCCACCCAGGTGAGGTTCCCCATCACTGCCTGGAAGGAGGAGGAGGAAGACAGACCCAAAGGCAGCCCAGGCTGAAGAGCAGCATTTGGGAACCGGCAGGAGATCAGACTCTGCAACCACGCAGCCTCCCAGAGCTAGGAAAAGGTCCACACATAGAGATGGTCTGGCAACACAAAAGCGGTTGCTTGTTCCGCTTTAGCCGAGGGGAGAAGCTTCCTCCCCCAGGCCTGGGACAGAAGCCCCCTTGCATCTGCCTAGAGGCCTTCCATGGCACGGCTCCTGCATCTGCACCTGAGAATTCAGGGGCTCTCCAGGGTCCCACCCCACAAAGGAAAAGAAGTGGGGCCAGAGGCAGGCCCACACGGAGGAACATCTCGACCCGAGGCTCCAGGAGCCCCCCAGTCAATAGCCCTGTGCTTTCCAACCCTTCTGGGTGATGAAGGAGGCCCCGGATGGCTCCTGTCATGGATTGTGGTGCCTCTTGTCGATGTGGTTGGAACTTTCGTTTGTTGTTCCCTCATCTGAAGCAGGGCAGGAGGGCACTTCTATGGTGCCACTGCCAGCGCTGCCCACTCCTTCCCTGCTGCCCTGCTGTGGAAAGCAACCCTAGTTGGGCTTTGACCAGACAGGCCCTTCCTGATTCAGCTACGAGGTCCAGGAGCTCCCAACGGCCCAAGGGGGGGGGGGAGGACCTTTGGGTTGAGCCATTTGCCGATTCCCCATCCACACTCAGCAAAATGACAAAGGCCTGGCAGATATTCCAAAGTCTTCGGGAAATGGCCCAACACCTTCAGGTGGACCATCAGGGGAAACTTCTGGGCTTCTCGGAGTCCAACTCCTCAACTGCCACAACAAAGGGAGGCATGAAGCCTCTCAACCAAAGGGCTCCAAGTGGGGTGAAAGTGGCCCACCAGGCGGCCCCTGGCCCTGCACCAGAGTGCAGCCAGCTTGTCCTTGGTGGCTTCGGAGGGGTCCCACATGGGCTCGGAAGAGAAGAGCTGCAACTCCACCTGGTCCAACCACTGCACCAGCCCAGCTGCCTCCAGGGAAACCTCCCGCACCTTCGGGAGCAGCAGGCAGAGACAGTGGGTAGAGTGAAGAGGGCATGGAGGACAAAAGCTGCTCCCTGGCCTCAAAAGACATCCCCCCCCGCCCTGGCCCTGAGCAAAGGCCATCAAGCTGCTGCAGGCCCAAGAGGTGCCTCCTTGCTGCTGGCCCTCCAGCCCTGGAAACGCCTGCCAGGAGGTCCCCCACCCAGCTTCACCTGGTTCAGATTGTGCTCCAGGGCCAGCTGGCGGTGCTCCGTCTCAGCCAGGACCTGGCTCCACCGGTGGCTGAGCTGCTGCAGGCTGCCCTGCAGGGCCTCTGCACAGGGCCCGCTGCCATCACTGGGCAGATGCCAGCCGGCCTCCTGTACGGCCTGCATTGTCATTGTGTGAGACAGGACATCCTTCCACAGCACCTGCCGAAAGCCGGGGTCAGCCCTGCCAACTGTCCACTAGAGAGCAACCCCCTGCCAGGGAACGGGGCCCCCAAATCACCTGGTGTTTGGCCAGCTCGATCTCGCAGCTCTGAAGGTCCGGCATGAGGGGGAGGGGGTTCCGGAGCTGTTCCTCAGTGCTCAGCAGCCCCTGCAGCAGCCAGTCCAGCTGACTCTGGAACCGGCCCAGGCGTAGGAGGGCAGCCTCCAGCCGGTGCTGCAAGAGAGGGCCAGAGGCTGTGGGGCTATCAAGGTGGGGGAGGCATGTGGCAAGTCTTGCAGGGAGCAGAAGGTGGGGAGAGGCTCCCACCAGCAAAGAGGCTGCCCGCCAAGCCCCCCCTTAAGGGCCTTCCACTCCCTCCCATCCTGGCCCAAGTGCCCCAACCTGCCGGATTAGCAGCTCTTCCTCCAGCTGGGTCCAACGGTCCCGGGAACTCCCAAAAGTGAGGGGGGGATCCTCCTGGGCAGCCTCCCAGCAGCTGCTCTGTTGCCAAAGTCTCTCAGCCTCCACCTGGCGCTGGTACAGCTCTCGCTTGAAGGCCTGCCCCGGGGGATTTGGGGAGGCAATGAGGAGGCGCTGCCCGGCACAGGCCCTCCACAGGGCGCCACAGTTCTCTCCTCAGAGACCCTGGCAGACCCCCTCCCATTGCTTCTCTAGGACCGTGTGAGAGTGGTGGTCCCAGGGTCACCCTGAGCCGTGGGGCTTATCCTGCTCAACTACGCTGGCGCCTGTGGGGGCTGGAACAAACCTGTTTAGAGAAGGACTGGTCTGCCATTTCTCCGTGCTCCATTGCCAATGGCACTCTGCCATTGGCTAGGAACAGTGCCAGTTTTGGACCACGGTGAGGCCCTGTCCACATGGCAGTTCCCTGCTGATCTCAGCCAGGCTCCTGGGCACAGGCATCCCCCTCCCCTCTCCCTCTAGGAAGCCAAGCCTGCTGGCCCACAGTCTGTGCTCACTTTCAGCTCTGAGAGCTCCTGCTCCACCTGGACTGGGTCCCCCTCACCCAGGAATTCCTGGGCCACCCGCTGCTCGGCCTCTGCCAGCCAGGCCAGGAGCCTCTAGAGGGAAGGGAGAAGAAACCAGAGGGAAGTAGGGGGAGGGCCGGGAGGGCAGGATTGAGAGTGGGTGGCTTCCTAGGGTTGCCTAGGTCTGAAAGGAGGACTGGCAGATGCTCTGGGGGGACCATCAACTGGCAAAGAGGGTGCTTACAGGGGCCACTCTGCTGGGAAAAGCAACCTGAATGGGGCATCGGAAGGACTCAGCACTTCAGCTCCCCTCATGCCCATGATGTGCTCCTGCCTGGCCAGCAGCCTCTGGCCACGTCTTCTTGTCCCCAGGCAGGAAGCTCTCCTTACCTGCGTCGTGGCTTGGTCGGTGACCGAGGCCTGCAGCTGGTCCTCCAGGTGCTTCTGCCGCTCCCCACACATCCTGTTCAGGCTGTTCCAAGATGAGTACAGCTGTGGGGGGGAGGAGACAGAGGGGTCAGTGGGAGCTCCTGGAGGGGAGGGCACAATGAGGCTTCTGGGACTCCAATCTTTGTACTCTGCTTGCTCCAGCACCAGGAGGAGGAAAAGGGCAAAGACCCCGGAGGACTCTGTGGGTGCCATGTTGCTGCCTCCCTCCACTCCACCGCTCGCCAGCCCAGTCGGTGCTCACGTCATCCAGGCTCTGGGTAACGGTGAGCTTCTCCGGGTCTCCACACGACGACATCAGCTCCATGCCCCAAGCCCCCAAGGAGTCCAGCTCACTCTGCAGACCATCCACCTCCTCATGCAGGGCCTGCAGGGCAAGAGGTCATCAGCGCCACCAGTACAGCCCTCCACCCGGCCAAACAACCATTTCCAGGGACCCTGAACCTGTGAGCCAGAGGAGGGTTGGAGGGGCAACCCAAAATGACAGGGCAGGCTGGGCGGAAGGCCTGGGCCTGTCAAACAGCGGCAGGCAGAATGGGACAACTCAAACCGGCCATCTCACTCCGGCCAACTCGCCAAGAGATAGCTCGCTATGGGACAACTGTGTGAGGAGGTGGATGCGATAACATTATCCACCACCGTTTCTTTGACATTGTTCCCATGGACAAAAATGGAAGATGGCCATGGCCAGTTGTCCTAGATCCAAGGCAGGTAGGGCCAAGGTGAGTGGTGAGGGTGCACTGATGGAGACAGGCCAAAGGCATCGTGTTGTCCCACCCCACTGAATCCCCAAGGATCCCCAAGTTCACTGGCACCGGCCTCCTGGTCTTTTCCACTTCCGTGGTTTATTGACCAAAAAGAGAGACCGGGGCACCACCACCCTTCAATAGGAGTCCCGAAGAGGCCTGGCCACTGAGAAGAGTTCAGGCTCTTCTCAGAAGACCTGGGGGTGGTAGCTGCAGGATCTTCAGCCCATCCCTCAGGCATTGCTCCTGCCCTGCAGGGTGGGGGACTTCCCCAAGATAGCAGGGGCTTGGACATTACAGGGAGAGGGCCAGCTTCCTTGGCGGGACGCCATGATGGTCTCGTACCTGCATGGCCACCAGCTTGGCCTGGATATCCTTCGGACTGGAGGCCGCAGTGTCTTCCAGGTCCAGCACTATCCGCTGGGTGTTGCTGAGAGCCCCGGCCAGCTTGGCCAGGCCAGGCCAAAACTGCCTGGCCAGGACCAGGAGTTCCTGCAGGGAGGCCTCGCGGTCTTTCTCCAGCTGCCACAGCAGCTGCCACTGATTCTGCAGATCCTGCATGCGCTCCTGGATGGCTACAGCAGCAGGAAGAGGGGCTGAGGCCAGGGAGTGCAGGGACCTCCTTTCCGCTGACTGGGTCCACCAAGTGGCCACTGGGCTCCTCAGACCAGCTGGGACCAACCACACAAGACATGCAGCCTGGACAGCTGCATTCCCACAACTTTCTGAGTCACAGGTAGCCTAGTTCCGTCTTAGCCTAGCATGAGGTATCGTGATAATCTAGCCCAAGTGTGAGCTATGGGCCACCCAAGAAAATGGTGGCCCAGGAATGCAGCCCCTTCCTTTCCCCAGGCTGTGCGCAAAGTGTTCCTGGGGGCTCTCTGGGCACCAAGGGCCAGAGGAAACTGCTCGCAGGCCACAGATTGACCAGCTGGCCAGCCATGTGTCTTCTGGGAATGGGAGCCCCCCCCCCTCCGAAGAAGACTGGCTGGGAGGGTACCTGGGTGTGTGGTGCTCTGCAGGATGGCTTGAAGCTCCGCCCCCTGTTCACGGAGGGTCTCGAGGGCCAGGGCCAGCTTTTCCAGCTCCGCCAGCCACAGGCTGCTCTCCCAGAGCTGTTCCTGGAGCCAGACAGGGTCTCCCCGCAAAGTAAGAGGGTGCCGTGTGCGGTCCTGCAGCCATTCCAGACTTCCAGCCACCAGCTTCAGCCGCTTGGACAGCTGCCGGGGAGCACAGGAGGGCCAGGATCACCCCTTAGGGGCTTTTCTTCAGGCAAGGAGGGGGCCACACCAAGGCAGGGGGGTACCCTGAAGGCAGGGGGGGTACCCTGAAGGCAGCAGCTCTCAAGCAAGGAGTGAGCTGCCATCGCTCTCCCAACTGTGGGCCTTTGCGCAGGTGGATACAGCCGCTGGATGGTGATGGTCCTGGCTTACCTGGCTGTATCGCGGGAGGGCCTCCCGCAACATGGCTGCAGCCTGTTGGGCCTGCTCTTATATGCCGCCCTTCTCCTGAGACTCAGGGTGGCTTACAATGCGTTAAGCAATAGCCTTCATACTTTTGTATATGTATACAGTCAGCTTATTGCCCCCACAATCTGGGTCCTCATTTCACCTACCTTTGAAAGGATGGAAGGCTGAGTCAACCTTGAGCCTGGTGAGATTTGAACTTGCAGTAATTGCAAGCAGCAGATGTTAATAACAGTGCTTAGTCCACTGTACTACAGGCTCTGCTTTTGAACTATACTACAGTTCAAAAGCGGAAACAACCACCTGAGCAGCTTTGGGTAGCCTCAAGTGGACACTGGACTGAGGGGGGGGGAGGTTCCTGAATGAGAGGTGGGCTGGGAGACCTTCAGTCGGCCTAACCAGGCCAGCATTCACCCTGACCAGGTGCTGCTGAACTTAGGGCTGTCTGCTCCAAGGTGTAGCCAGAGACCCCAATGTGCTCCTGATGCCCCAAGACTGACTGCAAGCAATGTGGCCTCTTCCAGTCGTGCGGGGGGTGGGGTGTCAGCATGTGCCTGGGCTTTGCTGGACACATTCCCCCATCCCACGGATTTACCCCTCCCTGGGTCAAATGGCTAGTAGGAACATCCTGGGCTTTCCCTGCCCCTGAGGCTGGAGCAGCAAGACCAGGTGGAGAGGGGACCCTTTCTCGCATTTGGGGGCAGGGGCTGGGGGAAGAGAACACTATAAGAGAAGCTTTGAAGTAGGCAGAGCACGAATGAAAAGGTCACAAACGGGGACCTCTGCCTTTGGGGCGCAGAGCACAAGGAAGGTGTATCAAAAGCAACACAAGGAAATGAAAGGCCTGCGATGAGAAAATCTCATCTGCCCTTCCTCCTCCCTCTCCCTTTGCCCCCCCCCTTTCACCCCAACCACCCCCCCTTCCCGCGTGGGCTTTCATTCTTTCTGGGGAGGCTCCTTCCCTGCTGCCTCTTGACTTCCTTCTCTCCAGATGGGTTAGCGCTCCCAAAGGAGCTGCCGCCAACGCCTGCGGTGCCACTGGAAGACCAAGATTGGACTTTCCAACATCTTCTTCCTTCTTAGCTGCTGGGCTACCTGACTTCCAATGATCCCTCCCTTCCCTCTTTCCCTCCCAAGGAGCCCGTCACTTGGCCTTCCTCCAAGCAGGGCCCCTCCCCACCTCCACCTAATCAAGCAGGTGGACGCCCACCCTGATTCCACCAGCCTGGTCTTTGTCCCTGCCTTCGTCTCCCTGCTGTACACAAAGCACTTCCTCCCACCCGGCACAGCAGCCCCAGCCGTTGGGGCGCGTCTTGGCCAGGAAGCCACAAGCACCCCCTCAAGCTGGGCTCTGCCTCCTGCATTTCTGCTCCAGAGGCCGCTTGCAAACAGCTGGATGACCCTTGCACAGAATGTGCCCCTCCCTTTCCTGGAGGCCTCAATGGTCACCAAAAGTGAAGATCCAGGAAGCGGCACCCACAGCCAAGCAGGGAGCATCTTTTAGACAGGATGGTCTGCCAGCTGGGCAAGGCTGCCACCCTGGGTATCCTCCTCCCACGTCCACCATCCCAACTTTGTCCCCCTCACCTGCAGCCCCTCCTGGACGTCTGTGGGGCAGAGGCTGAGCTGCAGGTCGGCCACCGCCACTGGCCTTTCTACCAGGCCCTGATGGCGAAGGGTGTCTGCAGAAAGGCGCTGGAGACACAGGGAAGGTGAATCGGGAGAGGGAGGCCGAGGTATCCCCTTGCCCTCTTTTGGAACACACTGCATGGGTATCCTTGTTCTAGGAATAGGGCATGCAAAGACCAGCCACAGCCTGGGAAGCCTTTTCTATCCTGCCAGAGGCTGCCTGGCATCTTCCTGGCCTCGCTGTTCTTGCTGTTTGTGCCTGACTGGCGACCCCCTGCGCTGTGCCCACGGGGCAGGCTTTGCCTTCTGCTCTAGAGCCCTCCCTGCCCTCAAAGCCCGGCTGGCTGAGGGAGCCAAGGCGCAGCTGCTGTGCCTCCGCCAAGTGCCTCCCTCCTTTGGGGAGGCTCCGGGGTGCATCTCCTGCCACCCTGGGCTGACTGGAGGGCATCTGCTCCCCACTCTTGGAGGTCATGCTCCTTCACCAACCTTCTGCTCTGCAAGTGCCAGGCAGCTGGCCTGGACATTCAGGTGCACCTGGCTCAGCTCCTCCACACCTGTGCTCAGCTGGGACACAGCAGCCAGCTGAGACCTCAATGTCTGCTCTCCACCTGAGATAGGAGGCGGCAGAACCTGACTCAGCAGCCTCACCCCAACACAAAAGAGCCCGGAAGGTGCCACGGGGAGGTGGGGAAGCCCCAGGTCCCAAACTGGCACACCTTATGCTGGCCCACAAAGGGTGTGCAAAGGGGGGGGGAGGCCGGCGGTGGGAGCAGCAGCAGCAGCTGGCCTCAGCTTTCCTGCCCTTGCCAGTCTTCGCCCCAGGAACCGATCCTTCTTCTCCAGCAGGCGAGGTAGGGATCGGACAGAGTCTTTGCCCTGCGCTGCCCAAAGCCTCCACTGGGCAAGGGGGGTGCAAGGGGTGGGCTTTTCCCACCTGCCCTACCTTCCGCCTACCTTCTCTCCGCCTGCAGGGGCCAGGGGGCAGGGCCCATCTCCTGGCTGACTGCCTGGCAAGAGCTGCTCCTTCTCCGGGGGCTGCAGCCCGAGGCCCAGGTCCTCCTGGGCAAGGTCCAGGTGGGAAGAGGCCTCCAAGATCTGCTCCATTTGCTGCAGGGTGTCACTGCTCCTCTGGTCCACCAGCAGCAGCCTCAGCTGCAGGGAGTCCATCTTGCCCTGGACAAGCCGCCCTTCTTCTCCTGCAAGAGCAGAGCCCCAGCTCAGCCCAGTGGCTGCCCAGCCAGAGCCCAGCACCCACCCCAGGAGTCTCCCCGCTCCCCTGGCTGCTAGTGCTGAGCAGCAACTTGCGGCAGGCCAACCTGCACAGAACTGGACTCTCAAGGTCAGAGACTCTCGTTGCCTACCAGACTCTTATCCCACCCAGCATCAATTCTGGAAGCTCAGGGCACAAGGAGGGATGTAGAAATTGGGGCAGGGACTAGGTGCACTGAATGGACATTTCTATTTGAGTTTTTGGGTTTAGTGTGAACACAGCTTATTGCTATCGTCTTGCTACCGACAGGTATTGTGCTGGAAACTGAGGGGTGTGGTTGCTTGGGCAGAGCTATGGAATCCCTGAAGCACCCCGAGTCAATTTAACAAAGACTTGGAAATCAGCATAAACCATAAGGACCTTTTCTCACACACGACCAGTCCTTCCCTCCCCGCATCCCCTTTGCTCCAAAACCTTGGTAGCCAGAGGTTGCCAAGGTGGTGGAAGGGGTCGGCATGGTTAAGCCAGCCTTCTCTGACTCTTCATTGCCTTCTTCCACTCAGCAAATAGGATTGGCAGCTAGGCGCTAGAGGGCAGAGGCATATAAAGTTAAGAAAAGTTTTATTTTTTTTATATTTTATGAGATTGCTTTAACTCCCCCAAAAGGGGAGTGATTAAATGGAGTTGTTTTCCCTAGCTACGTGCTTCAGTTGCTTTCAAAATATATAAACTGAGTTAAAAGAAAACAACAAAAAATGAGAATCCGTTGGTTTTATACATTTTACTATTCTATTATGCATAATTAGAGAGCGGGGTGGTTCAGATATCTGACGATGGGCTGTTTATTTATTTTTTCTTTGTGTTATTTAATGAAATTATTTCACTCTTACTGAGAGCACAAAAGAGGGTGACTACTGAGAAATCCCAACTGTGGGTGACCCTCTCATGAGCTACTCCAGGGACGGTTAGGCTCGCTAAATGAGGTTTCCCAAGGACAGCTCCGTGTGGAGTCCTGTCATGAGGTGACCAGGACATGAGAGACTGTTCCAGAAATGGCGTCATGTGATGCAGGAGACGTGACTGGCCCTCCTCCCCATGGCCTCCCATCTGGCGTATGAGTCAGGACCCAAGAATCCGGAGAGATTCCTAGACGGTGGATTAGCTCCATTCAGTTTTGGTGGGGAAGGAAAGAAAGCCAACAAAGGCAGAGTTGGCTCCTGGCTAAAGATGTCTTAATTCTCCATAAAACCCAACAAAAGAGACCACCTAACTCTCCGCCTCCACCTGCAACGCCTGTGACGTTGTGCCTCCAGGAGGAGAACCGGGGCCCCCCAAGAGTGATTTGCCCACAGGCTGACTCCTAGCCAACCCAAATGCACCAAGTCCCGGAGGGCAAGTGGGATAGGGAAGGGCCCCTTCAGGGCAGCCCCTTCTGTGGCTCTGCACTGGACAGAGCCCAACTTTGATCACACGCAGCAGCCCTGGGTCCCTTGGCTCTGCAACAGATCATGGGAGAGCCAGATGCCCTGGGGGAACAGATCTGGTCTCGCACCTCGGAGAGCATGTGACAAGGACCTTCTGGAAGTGGCTTTTTTTTTTTTTTAATTTGATTTATATGCCGCCCTTCTCCGGAGACTCAGGGCGACTTACAATGCGTTAAGCAATAGCCTTCATACTTTTGTATATTTATACAAAGGCAGCTTATTGCCCCCACAATCCGGGTCCTCATTTCACCTACCTTAGAAAGGATGGAAGGCCGAGTCAACCTTGAGCCTTGGAGAGATTCAAACCAGCAGTAAATTGCAGACAGCTGGTGTTAATCACAATGCTATCAGTCTGCTGAGCCACCAGGCTTTGATGCAGGGAGGGAGCTGCTGAGCCTTCTGCAACTCTGTGCCCCTCCCTCATGCCGCCAAGCCGCTCAAGGTCCCCACTCGGGCGGCTGAACTCAACCTCCTGCAGGCGCCTGACGCTGCCACTTGCCTGGCACCATCTGCAAGAGCCGCAATCCACGTTCCAGGGCCTCCTCCAGTTCTGCTGGCTTGGACTGAACTTCCCTGCGCAGATCCTGGAGGAAAGCAAGCACCCAGGTGACTCCAGGCAGCCTCGTAGCCCTTCCCGCTCTTTGATCAGAGAGCAGAGCCTCCCATTGTTCAGGGCTCTGCCCATCCTCCTCCTCCACCCTTGGACTTCCTTGAAGCTTTCCCTGCACCATGCCTGAATCTGCTGGTGGGCATCTTGGCTTCGTGTCAGGCTCCCAGGGGCCCCCCAGAGTTGGGCCAGTTTTTGCTCTGTCAAGCTCAGCCAGTCTTGGAAAGCCTCAACCGACTCCTGGAAGACGTCTGCAGCAGGGACGATCTGCTGTAGGCAGCTGTGCCTGTGGAAGAGGACAGGGAGATGGGGAGCAGAGGGCCACAGCAGGAGCCCACCAAGGAAGGCCTCCCTCCTGCCCTCCAGGATGCTCCGAGCCACCGGGAGGGACATTCCAGTAAGAAGGGCCAGAGGGCAGGTCACAGAAAGGCCAGGTGGGGCACCAGCCCTAGGCGGACTCCCTCACCCTTCTCTTCCTTTGCCTTCCCTCGCCAGGAAGAACCTGACGGGGCTCGGAGAAATTGCTCCTCTTCAGCCAGGCTGGGAGAAGAGCAAGGAATCGGATTCCTGGGGAGGCGTTTATGTCACATGGGGGCCAAGGAGGAGAAAGGCCCAGGCTTTCACTCTTTGGGTGGGAGACGCACATCCTGGGCAACGGCAGGCTACCCTCCACCCCTTTGCCCACTAAGGCTTGGCACCAGGCAACCATAGCAGAGACCACCACAAATCTTGGGCTGCCCCGGAATGTTCTGGGTTTCTGTTCAGATGGAGCAAAACATGCCCGCCTGCTCTTTGGCCGGGAAACTATCAGAACCCTGGATTCTGATGCCCTGCAGAATGGGACAATAGGAACCAAGGGTGGGCTAAAAAGCCCCCTCACAGGCCTCACTGGGTGAAAGACCCAAAGCGGTATCTGCAGGACATGTCATGTCCGGTTGATACGTGCTGCATGAAATGTTTTTAAATGTTTTTTATAATGATTTTAAATGCAATGTGAGCCGCCCTGAGTCTTCGGAGAGGGGTGGCATACGAATTGAATAAATAAATAAATAAACAAATAAATAATAAACAACGAAGCAGGAAAAGGCCCACCGGTTTTGCAAAGGTGGACACTAAGACCAGCAAGTGAACAACATTGGGGAGGGAGGGAAAGGAGCTCCTTCTTTCCCTCCCCCCCCCCAGATAGGGTTGGCTCTCTCTACCTGGCTTCGGCCTCCTGCATCAGGATCGCCCACTTCTCCTGAAGGCTGGCGAGGCCCCTGGGCTGCTCTTGTCCCTTGGCAGTACCGGCAGGCTCAGCAGAGAGTGGATGGCAAAGGCGGCCGATGTGTGGGGTGCGTTCCTCCAGCAGACGCAGCAAAAGCTGGGGGGAGCAGAGCAACCGGTGGGCCTTTCAACCTGCAGCCGTGCAGCCTCATCCCCTCTTGCTGCAGAGCCCTCTCAAGAACCCGCCAGGAGCTGCTGTTGCCACTTGATCTCATGCTTAACGGGAGCCTCTCTGGCTTGTCATGTGGCTTACCAGCCTTGTCGCAACGTAAACGACCTCCCCCATTATCGCTCCTCACTGTGACTCCCAAACGGAGGCTAGGCCCCCGGCCAGGCCCTTCCGTCGCAGGCAGATGACTGGCTCAGCGGCTGCAACCCAACCGGGCTGTTCCCCAGCCATGGCTGCAGTGGAGGATTAGGTTAACCCTAACCCTAACCCTGGGCAGCTCTGGGGCATGAGTTTAGAGCAGCTGATTGCCCAGCAGTCAAGGGAGTCCAGACTGAGCCTCTTCCCAGCCCCACCTCCTTTCCTGGGGCTGCAGGAAAGCTCCCATTCCTGGAATGGCTTCAGAATAGCCCCTTCTCCATGTCTCTTTACAACATAGGTGCAAATCATACTGGGTATAGTATTTTTATATTAAAATTACATATCATTTTGAAATGGTAAAAAGCTCCCAAGCTGCCCTGCCCCACTTCTGGGGCCATTGATTTTCAAGACGTGGGTCGTCTGGTGAGGTACCGAGTCATATCAACGAGGATGGTGGTCATGGTGATGATGAGGTTCCAGGAGAGCCATTTTTGGACACCTCTGCAGGTTACAGCTGACCTGCATTCTACTCCCCCCCTCCCCAATCCAGAGCAACCTACCCCAAGGTGCAGCTCTTTCCAAAGCTCCAGGTGCGAAAGCTGCCGCTCCCTGCTCACCTTTTGCTCCTGCAGCTGCGCCTTCACGACCTTGGCTTCCCCCGAAGGAGGTTTCTGGTGGCCCATGAGGTCCTCCACTTCACTGACCCAGGCACCCAGCTTCCCTGCGGTCTCCAGGGTCAGCCCAGCGCCTTGCATGCCTCTTGGGAGGGCAGCTGCCTGCAGGGAGAAGAGGCGTCACTCAGCACAGCTCTCCCAAAGGAGGTTTCAATGCACCTCGAAACGGGGGGGTGGGGTGGGGTGGGGTGTTCGGCCCCTACAATCCCTTCGATTCCCAGCAGCTCCCCCTAAGGGGAAGGCAGCTTCTGCTCCTCAGCCCCACCTGCTCCAACCACTTTGTCGTATTTTCCCCTCTCCAGGTTTGGCAGTGCTGTGCCTGAGGCAAAGATGGCCAATAAGGCTTTACCTGGACAGGTTAAACTTGTCGTGTGACTGCGATCACTGGCTCTTTGCAGAACACTCTGATGTGGTTGGGGATGGTGTCTGGTTCTCCAGTCAGAGCTGAGGGGCTGGTTGGAGCCCAAAAGCCATGCTGGGGGTTATTTAGGGCTACCTTACTCTGTTCTTGACCAGCCTATGGTCCAAACATGGCCACTGACGGGATCCCCACAAGGAACCCCTCCAGGCTCCTAACTCCAAAGCACATGGCAGAAGGGGGGGGAGGTACAGAACCAGTGACTGGGCCCCCCCAATGCACCCAAGGGCTGACCACACACACACTGAGGAAGGTAGGACCAGGGCCAAGGTGGACAGGAGCCTCCTTCTAGAACCCCAGCCCAGCTCCCCACCTGGTAGCAGTTGGCATCACCAACCCTGTGGGAGGAGGAAGAGGCATCCCCAGAACTTCCTCCACACAGGTTGGCAAGACGCCCCTCTTCTGCTCTGAAGGTGCCACCCAATTCCATGGTCTGACCCTCGGCCACCGGGCAGAGTTCTCTGCTCCCAAAGCAAACCTTTCTCTCTTTGCTTTGGACTAGATGGGGGCGGGGCCCCTCTTGCTGAAGCAAGAGGAGGGAGGGCAGGACTTGGCCAGGGGAGGGGACCATGTCCAGCAGCCTGCCAGCCTGCTTGCAATCCAGCCCCTGCCTTCTTGGAAGGGACAGCAGATACCTGGGTCTTGGGGGGTTCCTTGCCAGGGGCTTCTGGCCCTGCTTCAGAGGCCTCTCTGAATAAATGAGCCACTTAGTGGTCGTGGCCACCCCAGCTGTGTACAGCCACCTTATCTTGGCTGCAAGCCAGTCTGGCAGCAAATGGGAAGGGTGGGCACAGCACATAGCCAAAGGACTGCCCCACAGCCCCCTGCCCAGAGTGCCAGGGCCGGGGAAGAAGGGGTGAAGTTGCGGGCATGGTGCCTATTGACCTGGGGCAGGGCTTCTCGGACATTAGCCAGCACCTTCCCCATCCTGGTCACGGAGGCCTCTCGGCTCTTGTCCCCATCGGGGTACTCGGTCACTTCCACGATCTCGGTCACCACTGTCTCCGTCACCTCCGTCACTTCTGTCACCTCCCTGGTGGAGTGCAGCTTCCAGCCCCAGCTGGCCCCCAAGCTCTCAGGCGAGGTCCAGGGGGCCACGGCTCCCTCCTGCTGAGTTCGGAGGGGGCAGCAATTCCGCAGCTTAATGTCCAGATTGTTTTGCTTGGGGAAGGGGCAGCTCTTTGCAGCCCCCTCCAGGGCCACGTTCCAGCCATTCTCGACCATCCGTGGGCTGAGGCAAGCCTTCTCTGGGGACCCTGCGCCATCCTCCTCCTTGTTCAGGGCGGCCAAGCAGGGCTCCTTCAAGAAGTCTTCGGGTCTGGGGCTTTTCTCCCCCAGGCAGCTGGGCCTGCTGATAGAGCTGCCCATGGCCAGCGGGCAGGAAGGCGCCGGGCTGCCTCTCAGAGCCCCCTCGGAACCAGAGGAGCAGCCGCAGCCGCCACCAGCCTCTCAGGGGCGGAACCGGGCAGGCTGGAGCCCGGCCGGCGCTTTCCTTGCTCCAGGCCATAGGGGCTCATGGCTGCTCAAGCAGGGAAGAGCCCCGCGCGGCTTCCACCGTCTGCTTTGCTCGGGAGGCTTCGAGTCCCAGCTGAGCGCCTGGCTGGGCCCGCACCTGCTTAGGAAAAGGCGACTTATTGAAGGGGAAGCGCCAGGACGGGCGACGCGAAGCCCGCAGCCGGGTCGGGCAGCGAAGCCCACCACCACGAGGCCCGGCCGCACAATAGGCTGAGCCCCCGGCCGCCCAAAGCCTGCGCTGTCCCCGCCCCGCCTCCGCTCACTCGCGCTTCTTTGCTGGGCGGCGGCGGCTTCCAGCCCATCCGCCCCACGAGCGAAGCGGGCGGCGTGAACAAGACAATCGGCCGCGCCTCCCCGCCCAGCCCTCCTCGCCGCTTGTTGCACCGGCGGCTCCTCCCTGCTCAGCTCCGCTCGCCGCCACTTCCCGCGAACTTCTCGGGAGATGGCTGGAGCGGGGGGGGGGGAGCGCGTGGGCCCGGCCGGCGCTCGCCTTACCTTCTTGGCGAGGCGCGGAGACCGGCCGGCACTCCCCCTCGGCGGCTCGGCGTCCGTTGCTCAAGGAGCAGCTGCCCCGCCCGCTCCGCCGCCTCAGCTGCACCTCAGGGCATCCCCGCGGCGGTCTCGCCCGGCCGAGAGACCCCCACCCGAAGGGGCGACGGGCGCAGAGCCGATTTGCAGCGGCCGCCCCGCCCCTCGGGCGAGACTCTCGGCCGCGGCCCCCAGGCTCGCCAGCAGCAGGTTGCGCGGAGGAGGGGGCGAGGGACCCGCTGCCCTCCCCTCCCCTCGCCTGACCTCAGCTCACGAAGACGAGCCGCCGCCTGCGCTAACGCCTCAGTGCCGTCGCTGGGGAAACACCACGGGGCTCCCAAGCACGCAGGCGGGGGGCGGGCGCCTGGACCACCAAGGCCCGCAGCCGCGACGGCTCTCCAGGCAGCGCCACTGTCCTCCGGCCCCGGCAAGGCCCTCGGCAGCCCCGGGGCCTGAGGCCAGCGGAGCTCCCTAGGTGCGCGCCCCGACGCTGCCCGGCCCGCGAAGGTCATGGAGCCGAAGCCAGGAAGGCGAGGTCGCCCCTTTCTCCTCGCCGGGCGGCGGCAACGATTCAGCAGCTCCTCTCGGGGACCTGCCGCAACCCGGAGGTCAGCCGCCGACGGCCGGCGTCCCCCGCGCCTCGCTCCCCCGACAGGCGAGCCGGAGCGCCCCGGAGCAGCGCTGGGCACAGTCGAGGCCTGCGGGGGAAGGGCGCCTGCTTCGTCTGAGTCCGGCTTTGACCCCCGCGCTAAGCGGGCTGGGCACAAATACCTGGGAAGAAGGAAGCCCCTGGCCGGCCGGCTGCGGTCCCTGGCAGCATTGCCAATTCCCCCGCCCCAAGACAGGTCCTCACAAGGCAACAGGCAGTTTGCAGTCTGAAGACCCCCCTTCTGGATGCTGCCCCCTGGAAAGCCCCCCAAGGCAGCAGAACTCCCCCAAACATTGTCAGCCTATCCTGCCACACCCAGCAAAGCTTGTCCTTTTTCTTATGCTGAGCCCACACAACATAAAATAACCGTCTGGGAATCTTGAAACATTTCCCCACTCCTTCAGACTTTAAGACAAAGGCCAGGAACCAGATACCCAGCCATGGACTCCCCAATGTGTCCCAGGATAATGCACAAGTACAGATCCCCCAAACCCATGAAAAAGCACTGCACAGACACCCCTAGGCCTAGGGGATGTACCGCAACATAGCACTGGATGTCTCTGGGGCCTGGAGGAACTACTGTAGGTATGTCTAGCCTAATGAAGAGAAGGACTAGAGGGGACATGATAGCAGTCTTCCAATATTTGAGGGGCTGCCACAAAGAAGAGGGGGTCAACCTGTTCTCCAAAGCACCTGAAGGCAGAACAACAAGCAACGGATGGAAACTAATTAAGGAAAGAAGCAACCTAGAACTAAGGAGAAACTTCCTGACTGTAAGAACAATTAACCTGTTGCCTCCAGAAGTTGTAGGTGCTCCATCAGTGGAGGTTTTCAAGAAGAGACTGGACAACCATTTATCCAAATGGTATAGGATCTCCTCCCATGTGCGGGGGGTTGGACTAGATGATCTCCAAGGTCCCTTATTCTGTAATTCTGGGGTGCTTTTGCCCACAAAGTAAATGAGTTTGTGGGCAAAACCTCCCCTACGGCAAATGCCTCAGCAGGGCAGAAGGAGAGGCTGGCAAGGCCTCGGGCACAGCAGACAAAGGAGAGAAAGTCGCCCTTGTGAAGATGGTGGTGGGTGATACGGAGGGACTGAGAAGCTGCTCTCAGCACCACATTCCTCTACATTCTCTCCCTGGATTCCCCAGCAACGTATCCTATCGGATGCCAGGCTTAGAAAGAATGGCCTCAGGCTGCATCTGCACTGAATCTACCCAGGAGCCCCACCAATAGCATTGCCCACCTTCTTCCTACAATGCACAAACCAGCCAATGGTGGGGGGGGAGTCCCCAAACAAGGCCAGCAGAAGGTTGGGTTTCATGCCCTCTGAGCTGCACCCTTCGGCCACCAGCACTCCTGACGACAGGAAAGGGCCACCCTAAAGGCAGCTCCATCGGCCTCCCATGAAGAAACCTCAAGTCCAGGGCTTCCGGTTTCCTTGTCTTCGGCGACGGCAGCGCTCTTTGAAGCTCCGCCAGCCCCGCCGCCTGTAGAGCCGCTTCGCGATCGAGAAGCGGCTCGAAAACTTCAAAATCCTGAGGATTGTTGGAGGAGAGATAGCAGGGCACAGGTCGAGCCCCTGTAACCCCCCAGGGAATCGTTTCTGGGGAGGAAACAGGCGGGCTCCCTTCCAACCTGCTGAGACTCCGGGCGGCGTGGGACGATTCTGCTCCTGCAGAACAAGCCGGCTGCAGGAAACTTAAAGCGAAAGAACCAGCTTTAATAAACAGTGAAACTACCTGAACCCTGAAATTTGGAAACGCAAGTATTAGCACTTTGTTGACTTTTCAATCTGAGACAATGCGAATGAGTGAAAGTGCTTTGAAAAAACATGGCGCCTAGCTTCAGAGTTAACGAGCCAGCGAGTGTGGATTGGTGAAGTTATTTTGTTTTGCTACAAAGTTTCCAAGTTGCTACTAAGCTGCCTTGCTTGTTATAAGAGAAATAACTGGGAAATTTTTTCCCTTTTCAATATTGGACTCTGCTTTATTTTAACCCTTGTTTGATTAAATCTGGGGGACTTTTTTAGAAGTCTTTGTGCAGGAGGGAAAGGAAAAGGAACTTCCCTCTTTAGAAAAACTAGATCACGAGCCAGGATGGCTTCAAAGAAGCAGGAAGGGAAGGCATTAGGGGGGGGATCCCCCACACACAAACAGCAAACGCAACTTCCCCCTGCTCAACAGCTACAAACTCAGAAAAAAGAATTTGATGTGGGAGATTTAAAAGAATTTATTTCTAAAACTCTGGATGACAAATTTCAAAAATGTCAACAGGAGATAGATGATAAATTTCAAAAATCACATCAGGAACTTATGCAGGAAATTAATGAAGTTAAAGACATGGTGAAACAGAATCAAAATAAGGTGACCAAAAAAATATCAGAAGTGGCGTCTGGCCTGGCAGAATTTATGGGAAAGTTGATTATAAAGTTGAAGAATTCAAATCAGAAGTTAATGTCAAGATGAAAGACAATGATTATAAAATTGATGAAGTTGATAATAAAATGCAGAGATTGATGATGAGATTGTTATGATACAATTCCGGGCGATGGAATTCGCCATACGGCTTCGGGGAATTTCGAGAGGAGGAGAGACAGGATTTGAGACAAGTTTGTTCTGAAGCCTTGGCCAAGATTTACAAGTTAATCCTGATGAGTGTATTTCACAAAATAGATAAAATCTATAGAGTGAACTCTTGGTGGCCAGACAAAGACAACTGCCTAGAGATGTGGTCATATACTTTACAGAAAGAGGAATTAGAAATGATATCCTGCAAAAATCTTTTTATACTTCTGTACAAGTGGGGGGTTCACGACTTCAAATCTTTAAAGAATTACCTCCTAAAATGCTGAAAGCCAGAAAAGAATTTGGTTTTCTTGTTAAGGAACTGAGAAATTTACAGATACCCTTCGGTGGGACGCACCAGCTGGGTTAATTTTTAGATACAAGGGAGAAGGGTATCAGTTGAATACCGTGGAGAAGGCACAACACTTTTACACTACTATTCTTAAGGAAAGAACACCATCTCCACGTACATCCACAGTTTTGGAGATTAAAGAGAGTGAAGAGAGGCAATTGCAAGAACAGTCCAAGCAGGAATTAGAAGTAGTGCAAGGTGCAGAAGGAGGTTTTCTGAGTGAGCCCTTGTTGGATTCTTCTCCAATTTTGGATTTGATTCAGTTGACAGAAGTTAAAGATCAACGTATAACTAGAGCCCAATCCAAGCTACTTAAACAAAAGCAACAACAACAACAGGAAAGACAAGACAAGAAGGCAGTTAAGAGTATCGTACAAGAGAGTGGAGCTATGGGAGGAGCGAGATCGAAGCTCTCGGATGAACTTCAAATATTTTGCTCTGTGCTCCAGAAAGAGGCTGATGACCTTTAAGTGTCTATCTTGGAATGTCAATGGGTTGAATTCAGCACAGAAAAGGAAGAAATTATTTACATATTTGAAACAATTTAATAATGATATAATATGTTTACAAGAAACGCATATCACAACTCAAGATCAAAAATATTTGATAAATTCAAAACTAGGAGCACATTATATATCTTCAACTTCGCAGAAAAAGAATGGTGTGGTTATTTATGTAAATAAAAAATTAACAGCGAAAGTTATAGAAGCAGATCAAGATGGTAGGTTTGTAGCAATTGAATTGCTCACAGCAAATGGTCAAATTCTTTTGATTGGAATTTATGCTCCCAACCAACAACAGGATTATTTTTACAAGATGTTACATACTAAAATATTGCAATGGGACTATAGATCTATTTTAATTATGGGAGACTGGAATGGAGTAATTGATTCTAAACTAGATAAAAAGAGCTTGGCAAAGTCTAGAATTAGATTACCACAGACTTTTTTTGATATGAAAGAAGATATGGAATTAAAAGATGTTTGGAGAATACATAATCCAAATGAATTGGACTATACTTTTTTTTCGGATAGACATAGATCTTTTTCTAGGATTGATTTTATCCTGTTGTCAAATGATCTACTTGTTAAGACAAAAAGAACAAAGATTTTTCCAAGAACTCTGACTGACCATAGCCCTGTATGGATAGAAATTGAGATGGATAAGGTTGAGAGACGTTCTTGGAGATTAAATGAGAACTTGTTTAGATATGAAAAAAATACAATAGAACTTAAAAAGCACTTGAAAGAATTTTTTGAAATAAATTTGAATAAAGGTACCCCAATTGAAATTGTTTGGGATGCAAGTAAAGCTTATATGAGAGGGGTACTCATCTACATGAACTCTAAACATAGACTGCTCCGACAAAAGAAAAGATCTGAGTTGGAAATGGAAATAAAGAATAAAGAACAGTTACTTATTAAAAATCCAACAGATGAAAGAATACGAAGTGCTATAAAACTTTTGAAAGATCAATTTCAAATGCTTATGGCGGAACAAGTTGCAACAAGTTTACAATATGCGAAGCATAATACATTTTGCAACGCTAACAAACCGGGCAGA